GCATATATTGACCTAAAAATGTCTAAAAAGTTTCCAGAGACTGTTTTAGAGCATTTCAAATTAATCTCTGACGTTATGAGGAGTAAGTTAACATTTGGTAGAAGTAATCATTGGGTATAGCATTTAACCAACACAAAATATATATTTAAATTCACACTTCTATCTTTATTAAGGAAAATATTTATTTTAATATTCTCATTATATTGAGACCTATTTTCTATTTGTGATTTAAAATTCAAATGGATGACTTTACATACCCTTTTCAGGTCCTCCATCTTTTTCTTGAAGAAATTAGAGCACACACCGTCTGTATTTTCAAGATATCTAGGAAAAGAAATAATCTTTCAAATGCTGTGCTAATGTTACACAAATTTAAGTTTAAGATGGTACAATCAACTCATGATAAGATATGTGTTGAGCATTACTTTATCGAAAATGTATTTTGAAAAATGTTATCTTTACTACTACCATTAGCAAATAAAGGAACTTACTGCAAATAGTCACTTGATGATAATATGAAATCAGGTACTCGTTTTAGGTCAAGTTTATTTTCTTTCAAAAATTTTACGGTATTTTGAGTGTGATCGTCCCTGGGAGAAAAGATGGATGTTTATCTGGATTATAAATCAAATCTGGAAAATTATGCTTGGGAATGATTAAAATATGTCAATTCTTGTAGTTAAGATAGGAGGCTACGAACATTTGAAGCCATTGCCAAAAATATATTTGATTACACTGACTTTATCTCCCAAATTTGTTCAAAGAAGATCGTAGACTTTTTAAATTAAAAATGGCTTATTGAATCTATTTATACTGAGAATACAATGATATAAAAACAAAAATACAAAATAAATGCTAAATAATAAATTAATAAAATCCTCATAATGTAACAAAAGGATTTATTTGAAAAAATGTCCACTTCAAATTTTGTAAAAATGATGTTTCATTTTGATACACTGACATCAAAATTGGGGCATTTTTTAATCAGAGGAATTTGAAAATATAGTCTTTGTGGTTAAATAATTGATTTAACTTTTTATGTTTATTAGAGTGAAAAATCTGTGTTATTAATGGTGGTTTCTGCATAAGGCAGCAAATTTTTTACTGCTTCCTCGTAAGCAATTTTGAAAATTTTTGTTGCCTCTCTCAACATTTTGAGCATAAGCAGTAGTGTTACTAAGGTATGTGCATTTGCCGAACTCTCACAGGGGCCTGACAGCCTATTAGCGGGACGACACTCTCATCTAAAATATAAGGGAATGGTGCCCTGAGGAGGTCCGTGAAGAAGTCAGAATGGGGTGATACAATGAGTTTACTGCACTGGATGACACCAAGTCTAGTAATGACACTGATCACTGGATAAAATAGGCAACTAGCCAAAATAACTAATGCTTATAAAATAGCTAACTTGCTGCCAAGCCACAACATGTTGGGTGCGTTTCTAAATTACAGTGGCCAGATGAAGATTTGCCTATGACAAATTATTTCATTTAAAAAAAAGTTTTACATTTTATCTTATTGTAGCCCTCATTACCCCCAATATTTCCCTTTTTACCAAATATGGAGTAATTTACCCAGTTTGATGACCACTGAGTAAAGAGATTTGTAAAATATCAGTCAAATATAAATCTGAAATCCAAACCTTGTAATATGTTCTAGCAGACCTCCATGACTGATCATACATTCTCCCATAGCGGTCATATGCCGCCTATGTTTTACTACATCACTTGAGCAAAAGTAACACCATACAGTCTGGTCTGACTCCACCCATGTTATCTCACAGACTAATGGAGGCTTCATTTTCAATTTTGCTTCGGTGATCTAAACAATGAAGATAAAATTGAGAATTCATTGAAAAACATTTCAATAACATTAGAAGGAAACAAAATGGATATTCAGGATGCATAACAAATGGTAGAGTAAAGCTTTACAGAGATCAGAAATACACTGAACAAATCTTGGAACCTACACAGAGTTAAAAAGAAAAAAAACTAAGCCTACTATATTATTTAAAATAATCCAAACTGCCCCATATGTCAGTGAAACATGAAAGATGACAAAGGAGATGATGAATCTCATCAAAGATGTCTTTAAAACTAATGAGGATTATATCTTAGTTATTAATTAATAACATTAATTACACTTCACAAAGTTACCTTTTTGGACAACTTTTTCAGAACATTAGCCACAATTTCTTGATGACGTTTAGAGAAAATGTGTTTTTTAGATTTCTTGTGGTTGAGCCTGCAGAGTGGACAGTAGCGGAACTGAATAAAAACACTTTGGCTGGCCATCTTATATCTTCAATTACCTAAAAAAAAGAGAAGCAAAACCTCCATTTTTTATGCAAAATATGCCTATCAAGTCATGTCTGTATAAAGCAGCGTTCCATGACTTAATGCCACCCTGGACAGACTCCCATAAGTGCGCTGTTACATGCACCATTTATATTTTGTTACTGGTATCTAAAAACCATTAATGTGCCGCCTGGGGTAGTGGCCATCTTCCTCACTGTCTTTATTAAAGCCTATGACCTCAATAAAATTTAAAAGTAACAGAGATTAATTTAGTTTGGTAAAATAATGTAAAACCAAAACAAGAATTACCAGTTGTTAATTTTTGTTACAAAAATGTATAATAAAAATTTACACCAATAATAATAACTTAATAGTAAATATGATTTAATTAAAATGTCAGCCTAATTTAATTATAATGTCTAGACTCGAGGCCAGCTATTAAATTACAACTATTATTAGTATTATTAAAAAAGTCAATCGACAGGGTGAGATGAACCTTGTCACTTCAGACTTGTGTATAATTGGACTCCCAGGGAACATTTGATCTAAAGTCTAAAATTTTATTTTAAGAAACTTAATGTGATCACAGTCTTAAAAATTAAATACAAAGCCGAATAGTGGGGAAAAATAAATCACTAAAAAATTCATAACTTTTCTCCTATAAGTGATAGAAAGATTATCTTGGTGTCATTGGAAAGCTTAGAACCAGCTCTTTCCAATGATATGCTCTTTGTGTATGTCAGATGTATTGGAAAATTTGAGTTGGAGTGCCTAAAGAAACTCTTCTTTTTTGAAGTATTTAATTTAATAATAAATGCCAATGGTGCACAGTATGTAAAATCTTAACTAAGCTATACTATATGACTATATGAGGCCTGGTGAGGGAAGGAGATGAGCACATGTCATCAGTGGGCTGAGTGGGTCTTGTCCATAGCCTATCCTGTATAAGGCAAAGACCAATAATGAATAATATGAGGAAAGAGTTGACTCTTGAGGCATTGCTTATTTCAGTCTACATTCTACACATCAACATGGCATATATAAGTGAAAAGCTGCATTCAACATTGCTACCCAATCTTAAGTCCATCTAAATCTACACTGGGACTAGAGTTAGAGTGAGTTTCAGTTAGTGAAACTGACTGAGAAACACTGAGAGCCACAATGACACTGACTTTGATTTGAAAAACGATCACTAGCCCAGAGCAGTTTGGCTTTACCACACTACACTTATTAGTAATATTAGGCCTCTAGTTCAACTTCTAGGCTACTATTTTTGTTTTTTGTTGTTGTTATAATTATAACTTATTATAAGTACAAGGTAAGGAGTATGGATGGGCAGTTAATAATTCAATTATAACTTTATTTTTATAACTTATAACTAAGTATTGAGTAGGAATAGATGAGGAATTTATTGAATGAATTACATTATAATTACTTTTACTATTTTCAAATAGTCAAATAGGCCTGCCTATTATATTACTATTAATTAAAATTAATTATTTTTTAGTTTAAAAAAAAGTAAAAAATGTAACAAAATGATCCTTTTACCACCACAATCACAATAATGAAAGCTGCTTCAACTTATCAAAACTTGGCATTTACTTAACTATCACAGGCCTATTACTCTTATTCAATTTTCGCAAAGAGCATTTTTTATTCTTAGTCTTACTCTTATTAGGCTATTAGGCCTTCGGCTTAGGGATCATTTTTCATGCGTTGTTTTTAATGATGAACTCTCTTTCTCTCAAAGTTAGTAAATAATTAGAACTATTGTCTATTTTGTAGACCGTCGGCCTTATTTATTACTCAATGTTATTTGTACGAAAAATTTGTCAATTTTAAATAAACTATACTTTTTTAATTAGATTGAATTGGTTAAATTGACAGCCCTATATTTAACTTTAAGTTGAATTGATATGTTGTACCCTGAAACTTTATGTTTATATTTCCTACTAAAAAATAATGTCATCTGCACAGATATATGATATACATGTAATATTTGATTGTAAAAGTTATGTGGTGGGTGGGTGAATATACATTGCTGTTCTTTATTTCATAAATGTATTTTATTTTAATGTCATGATTATGTCTCTTTTGATAAAATTTTTATGTACAGCACGGTGAGCCCAGCCCTAGGCTGGGGTACCATGCTATATAAGACCTCTTATTATTATTATGATCTTGACTTGAACTATTATTCAATGTTGTTTATATCAATTTCTTTGGTTTTAATTTTAAGTTTTCAACTGTGATTATTTTTAATGAATATTTTTGTTATTGTACATGCTTAACTTAAAATATTATTTATTTTAAAGTATAGTGATATTTTAACACGATACTGGATTTCAAATTTTAACTTTTCTATATTTATTGAGGTATTCTATGAAGTATGTACGACATTGATTCTATTTTGAACTGTGAATAGAAAGTTTAAGATATATCTTAACCTATTCAGAGAACTAGAAAGAGTGAAGAAGAAAATATTTTAAGGCATAATTCCATTTTCAGGAAAAATGTATACTACCTTGTGATAGAAATAATGGAGTGTTTGGGGATGCTAGGATGGATATATTTTCCTTTTCTAACACTATAAAAAAGCACTAACATTGTTGCTGGTTAGATTGGTCATATTGACTTCTGTTAAACCATGTACGTAATATACATCTATTAGGCCTCCATGCCCATGACAGTAGTTTTTTCAACTAACTTTCTACAGCTATTGAAATATGTGTATCATATCACTGCCAATGCAGTTTTTTTTTAAAAAGTAAAAACTAATAATTAAAGTAAAAATATAACTAAGTAAAAAGTTGAAAAATGCTTCAAATCAAAATAAACTGAAGAACAGACAACTTTCTAACATGATTTTATTATTATTAGCATGCAGATTACATCAAGAACAACCGACTGATTCTGAATTTTAGATTTAAGATCTCATCATGTCAAATAATATTGAAAGTAAATTTTGGTTTTGCAGATTCCAAATGTCAAAACTAAAGAGCTAGTGAAAAATCAGTTTTCCAATAAAAGGAAAACTGCATTTAAAAAACACAATTTTTAAAAAATCAAAATCAAATTTTGGCATTTTATTGGATGTTTCATGCTAAAAGTGAAAAAAATAAAAAACAAAAAAACAGTGACTATAAAATATGGATGGCATGCAAACATAGATGAACAGCGAATGTGGCAGTAAGGTTATAGCAATACAGATAACATGTCAATTTTATTCGCACATATCATGCAAAACAAAACTTACTTTATAAAGATTTAAACCAAATAAACAGAAATGGCTTTGGTTTCATTGTTAAGTTATCTTTGATCAGATTTTTATCAGTTACTTAGTACAAGATTAAATTACCAGAGTACTTATAATACTCCTCCTATATTCAATAATTTTAGCACTGTTACCTAACATAAAGTATTTAAATACTATTTTCAGAGCACATTATACATTTTTAACGGACTTATTTGAACAGCATATTTTAGTTGAAGAAATGCCACAAGGAAGAATATAATTCATTAAAAAAATTATTTTGAAGGGCTAACTATGAATTATTTTCATGTTAAGAAAGTATAATTTTATAATCACTCAGCAATTGAGTCAGACTTTCTCTAAACATCCTATCGATACATTATTTAATTGTGAACACAAGCTGGGCAACAATGACACACATATAGTATTTATTCAGTGATATCGATTACACATTTTTTCTTTTACATATACCAAGATTTCGATATCCTCTGTTGAATACCAAGTGATAAAATGTCAAGTATCAAAGACTAAACAAAATACACACGTGATTAAAGGGATAGATACAGACATAAAATAATACTTTCCTGAAAGAGAAAAAGCCAACAATTATCATTGATTATTGCGTCGGGTAATTTTGTTGCCGTTTAAAATGCCTGACATATTGCACACAAAAATGGATTAGATTCGCTTGTCACTTGGCATTAGCACATCTGAACAAAATTAAAAATAAGTTAGATTACTGTAGGGCTAAGCTTAAGACTTTATTCTAAATCATGTGCACTGCTGAAAAAAAATCAAATAGGTATTTTTCTGTATTTCACTAAAGCCGAAAAATTTTGATCAACAACTTCAAGCTGTGTGTAACCATAACTCGGGCTACCATTGATGAAATTTCAACATACAAAAAGGAAATAATGGACAATGTGAATAGACATTGGACATGGCATGACGAGGCAATATAATCTGAATTGAAACATAATATTTCCAGATAGTAGTAGGGAGCTTAATGATTGTGCTCATTCAGTGAGATGAATTCATACCAAGAGTTTAATGGGCTCGCTCAAATACCAGACATTCATTTGATGATTTCATGATGAGCAGAATGTCAAATTAAAATAAACTATTTTTTAACAAAAAGGTAGGGACCAAAACTTTTCTTATGGCTGAGGTAATTATTTTTTATGCATCTCAGGTTTTTTGGTATATTTAAAAAAAAATTTAACAAAATATTTCCTCTATATTCCGCAATTAAAAGTAATCATATAACCTCATAGTAACAACTCATGAGTAAGTTTAAAAAGAAGCAAAGGCAAGAATATATTGATCAATTCCTTGTTGAAGGCCAGGCATGCATGTCTTTGCTCTGGACATGAGACACATTTAAACAGCTTTATATTATGAAATGAATTGGTTCAGTTTCTGAACATGAGCACCGTTTTAATTACATAAAAGAATTTTAAAAAACAAAATTTCATAATTCCATTTATACCTTTGTGTTATTAATTTTCTTCATTCTAACATGCTGAATATTCATTATTTAAATTTGCAAAGAGGTTATAGAGTATAAAGCTCACATTAGTCAAAATTCTCTCATGTTAATTATGCTAAAATGATTTCCATATAAAAAATTTGAAAAAAATGGTCCCTTTAAGCTTATACAGGAATTCAAAATGTTACATTGTAATTTAAATTTGACAATATCGTTCAAGGTGAGATATAATAAATATGCATGAAATAACATGTGAAATGAAAATGATATCCAAATTTTATGGGAGCCTTTAATTTTTAAACTAGTGATTATTGCATTTTTATCAACACCAAGGCCACTATTTCTTCTTTTTCCCCATAGTGGAGGTATGAGCCTGCACCTGAGCCTTTTGTTGGGAGAACAGGTTCATCTCATCGTCAAGTCTCTTCTTACTTTCTTCAAGTTTGCGTTTCTCTTCAGTGTGTTGTTTTTTGAGAGCATCAAATCGATTGTGAAGCTGGAATGAAGTAAAACATATCATTAATACCTGCAACGACTCTCATGAATTTGTGTACGCTAAACTGTTAAATACACTTAGTTATGGACCAATATTTAACTAAGAAATAATTTGATCATCTATGTCACTGAACAGAGTTTAAGATTTGTTATGTTAAATGTTGCACCTCTTTCTCAGCTTCTTTCAGCTCAGCTTCCTTTTCCTTGACTCTGATGACAAACATTTGTCTCATTTCATCTTCCTTCTTCTGAAGCATTGTGATGTGTTCCTGACGTTTCTGCTCATAGGTCTCTGAAAGACTGGAAGAAAAAAAAACACAAAAAAAAACTCAAGTTCAATAAAAAATTATTTGAATTTTTAATTTTGATGACTTCGAAGTCATGAAAAACTTTTTGAATAAAATTAACCCTTTCCCACAGAAATGTCATTAAAAAATCACCATTGTTAATAGTATTTTTAAGGTTTATATTTTCAGATGCAATGTTTATCATGAACATGAACCAAAGTGAATATCGGTACATATAATTTTTTCAATGTTACGGGTAAAATTATTAACCCATTCAATACGTCACAATTTTTTAAGGGAACGCAGTAAACTTTTGGTACTAAAATTCTATTTGACCTAATGATTTTAAACTGAAAAGCTTAGTTTTGCTATTTATCAAAATGATATCATGCTGCATATCCAAATGTAGGTAATTGAGAAAGGAATATGTTTCTAATATAAAAAAGAGTTAAAAAATTACCCAAAGAAAATTTTTGGGGGTATTATTGCAGGTCTATGCCAAAAATTATTTTTGTGTGCTTTACTCACCAGCTCAGAAATCAGGTAACAATAATCCAATCAAGTTCATATTTTTTTTAAATGAGTCTTATGATATATCCAAAACAACTGGAAAGTTTCATTGCAGTAGCTCCAGAAATTGTAAAGTTATGAATTTCTTTCCCAAGACACGTGTTAAAATTTTGTTTTCAAAAATTCAACAATAAAAATAGTTATACTCAAATATTTACACATATTTCACATATTTACTAAATATATACACAAATGAAGCTATTATTTTAAATGAAAGGCCTTGAAGCATCCTTTCGGATGGAGATGGGGTTTGGCTTCACAACCAGTGCAATAGATATGTGTGTGTACTCGCTTTGTTGCAGTTGAGCAATATGCGCAAGATCGATCCCGTTCATCATAATCCACAATGTGCTGTGCATCATTAGACTTTTCGAGGCATCCGGTCTCTGGACCATTTCCTGGTGCTTTTACTTCTTGATTTAATGCTACTTCCTCAGTAAGCTGACGCATCAACAAAAGTTTATACTGTTTTAGACTCATTTTGACTCTGTTTACATCTGCTGATTGGCAGAGTAAAAACAAAATGTATGAGTTCACCTGGGTGATTTCCAACAGCCAGAAAAAAATATTTTTCCACCATTTCAATGTTTTTCGCTCATAAACACAGTCATATGTTAAATATGTTACTTTTTGGTCTAGCTTATCACAGCCATTCATTTTGTGATTATAAATGTCTATCATTTCCGGTTTATCAATTTTTTTTGTTTCTCGGTAACTTGTACCCTAGCATCTGTGGACACCATTATGACATTTTTCTTTGCCTTTTTATCCCTGAAAGCAACAGAGAGCATGCTCTTGTTTTGGTTTATATACCACTTCATCTTTTTTTGTTGTAAAGATAAAGATTTTATGTCTAGTGCAGGGGTCTCCAAACCACGGCCCGCGGCGACCTTTTTTGTCTACGGAAAAAGATACGGAATTTAACGTGTATCCTGCCAAGATAAGCCACCGCTTTCGTGCACGCTATGTTTTTACTGAATTGAAATAGAGGCGCGTTCATGTGTGGTGCATCAATGTGTTATTAAATAATAACTGAATAAAATTTTATTAAATAAATAATTCAAAACAACATCCATGTTTTGATTCTTATTTATTTGGACCTCGACTGTGTAGCAGGCCCCTGAACTGCTGTTTGATAATTAATGCTGCCCTCGGGCTGAAAAGTTTGGAGACCCCTGGTCTAGTGGAAATCCAATGTGGTTGATATTCAGTGTTCCTGTGTAGTATTGTTTTTTGGCAAGAAGGTAGTCAACAAGTTTTCTTTTCGTATAATATCTGTCAGCAAAAATTTTGTGTCCAGTACCCACATGCTGCAGTAAAGAATGAAAAACTACAGCCTGTCCTCCATCTTTATCTATTTCTGGGATATAGGAGGTATTAGCCCCAAAATGGGTCAAAATATCAACAACATAACCTGTTGAGGAATCACCAGGCCAAATGTCTTTATATGATATTTGCTAGGCTTAGCGGCATTATATTGTTTGAATTGCCATCTGCCCTTGAAGCCTATTACCATTTCATCTATGCTAAGTTCCTGAAAAGGGTAGAATGCATTTCTAAACTTATTCAAGAGTAAGTTCATAAATGGTTTAATTTTATCTTTCCCTTCGGAATTTTCATCGCCACAGTGTAGCATGGAGTGATAGATGTCCAGAAATCTCTGTCTGTTGAATACATGGTGTATCCATGGAATATAGGATTCAGCAGACATAGACCAATAATCAGAAATAGCTGGCCTTTTATACATCCCCATGTAGATGAGAACAGCAATAAATTTGTCTAGCCCCTGCCTTGATATGTCCACCCATCGACTAAAGACAGAGCGTCTAAGTGCAGGTGTGTTCATGTGAACTTTTATTTTAGCATAGGCATTTATAGATTCAACAATGTAATCTTTAACATTATCATCAAATAGTTCATTGTAAAAGTTAATAGGTGTAGGGTTTACAGTGTTTTGAAGCTTAGGGCAAACTCCAGGATTTCTAAGGGGATGAAATCGGAAATTGTTTTCAGTTTGTCCTGTTAGGACTTCGGACCACTCTGTCTCTGTAGGGAAATAATTTGAACAAGTAGATTGACTTGTTTTAGAAGAAGATGAATTATGCTTTGAAATTGAAGCCACAGAATTAGTAGAACTTGAACTAGGCCAAGTTGGTGTTTTTTTCCTTTCCCTTTTCCAATGGATAATTTTTGTCTCTTTGTAGTCGGAATATATTCCTCATCACTAGTTTCCTCAAATAATAAATTTTCGTAATCACTATCACTGTCGTCAGATTTATCCTCATTTGAACTTGAATCATCCAAGCAAATCAATTTACTTGCCTCATTGGCAGTCATAGATCAAAATCCTGATCAACTAGAACTGGCAGTGTTATTCGATGCAGCCATTTCAATCAGCTATTTTTTGTTTACAAATTTTTAAGGGAAAAAAACTAGCACAAAATACACAAAATGTGGGTTAATCAGTTTGAAATTCAACAAAAAGGATGTGGAACTCTTCTGAATAAAAGTTTGATAAGCTATATAAAAAAATAGTTGAATGGAAAAGTTGGAATACTAATAAAATGAAACAAACCAGTGGTGACACAGAGAGTGGCTAAACGTACTCTGCCGAAATCGCAGTGACGCACACTGCGGCGAAACGTATTAAATGGATTAACTATATGTTATTTTATTGACCAGCTCTTTTACCTTTTAGATTCAGAATCAGAAAAGCCCATTTCTTCCAGTTTGTGTCGCCTATATAGTTCAAAATGCCTGGAGTGGGTGACCTCCCTTAGATCTTCCATGTTCGTTCTTATCAGCATCTCCCTCAGCTTCACAAAGTCACAATGATTTTCATTCTCAACTGTGTTGAGAAGTTTAAAAAGTCAATGAAAGCCTAGGTTTATTTTTTAAAAACCTACTTTAGAAAACAAGTCCTTCACATAACTTTTATATTAGGGTTAAAAAAAAAAAAAAATTGTTTGTCCTCTTCCTTACATGTATATTAAACATCTAAAACTAACATAACTGAGCTATTTAAGAGTTATATGTGAGACACAATAAGATTTAAATTGCGCATCCTTCATATATAAAAATGATTGTTTGTCTTATCAGAAGACTGCACTAGCTTATTGAAGGTACACACAAAATTAGATATGACACTCCAGGTTTAGTATTCACAGTGTGCTATACAAAAGGCTAAAACGACTTTTTTTAATGAAATATTTATATTCCAGGAAAGCTGTTTAAAAAAAAAATTTTTTAATTAAAAATGATTACATCTCAAGCTTTTGTTTTTTGTTTATTCACAAGTTGCTTTCTTGATATAAGATAATTGAGACATTGATGTCCATGGGTATTAAGGGATATTTTGCTCTCAAGGAATATCTTATAGCACAAATTGATTAGTCTAATACTATACGTCTGGATTATTCCTTTGTATTTCTTTATGTCACTGACTAGCATTTACCTTGGACAGTGCCCCATGGATACTGCCTGGCCTTGACCAGCTTGTTGCCAATCTTCACTTCATCATTGCTACCAACCACAGCAAATGGAAGATGTTGCTGGAGGAAATAGTATTAGTCAGGATAAGGCTCTCAAATCTATTTGGTTGTTTATTAATAATTTTATTAAATGTGCTGTTGAAAGCTTAAATTGTCAACATATCATTGTTACTGATGGCTCTTCGACTCATTACATATCATTGGCACTTATGGCTCTTCGACTCAATACATATCACAAGTATTTATGGATTTTCAACTCCATACATATCGTAAGTACTTATGGCTCTTCAACTCAATAAACATCATTGGTCCTTATTGCTCTTTGACTAAATTTACTAACCTGTTACAACTTAATTTCCATTCTCACCCACTATCTGTCCTACTTACTACTTCATCTTTCTTTATCATACCTTATCATTCACCATCACTTCAACTCCCCCACCCCCTTTTTTTCTATCGCTCCCAACCCCCTTTTCTCTATCTCTCCCAACCCCCTTTTTTTCTATCTCTCCCATTCATTTGGGGAACCTTCCCCAACACACTGCCCAAAAAGTCTTTCATGCCTTCTCCACTCTATCCCTTGTCCTCAAAACAAATCAATATCTTACATTCATTGCTCCATTGGTATCTGCCACCGTCTCATCATCAGTGGGGAACTGATAGATGTGCACTCCATTGGACACAAGTTCAGACATCAGCTGAAATAGTTATTTTGTTAATTTTTAATACATATTTACCTGAATAGCATGTTAAGCTTGTAGAAATTCTAGACTACTTTAACTCATTCCCCCCTGCAATGCTACTTCCGTATTTAATTTATTTGCCTGAGAAAGGGAAGTAACCCCGTTTTGAAATTGTTTACATTTTTTAAATATTTATTTAAGCTACTAAATATTATTTAATTTTAATGAATTAAGAACAAATGCAACAAAAAATGAATAAGGTTTAATATAAATATAACATTAGCGGGGAAAAAATAATGAACAATGACCAAAAAATCGATTTTCGGCACCTCGGACGAACACATGCTACATATAGACGCGCCGTACTAAAGCTCACGAAGTTTTAAAGCGAAACAAGATAAAAACTTCCGGTTTTTAAATTAAAATCACGCTGAACCACGCCATCGCCGGAAGTCTCGAGGGATGCGAGATTTCATTGCTATTTTTAAATAGATATGAGAGAGGTGTGTCGCTATGCGCCGGGACGCATTTGGACGCATTCGGCGGAACCCGTAAAAGACGCATTTAGTCGCAAACGTCGGGAATGAGTTAAATACAATCTATTCAATATTTCACAGTCCCTAACAAAAACTAGTTTACTTGTCTTATGAGGTTAAAAAAGGAATTTGATACATCAAACATCCTATTATTTAAAAGGGACAACTCTTAACCTAGTTACGCCACACAAAATCCGATATCCCCTTATTTACCTTGGCTTTAAATTTAGTCAACTCTGTCTTGGTGATTGTGTCTGCCTTGGCAATGACAGGAATGATGTTGACCTTTGTATCAAGTTTCTTCATAGTGACAAGGTCCAGGGCTTTCAATCTGCAAAGTAAATAGATATTTCTAATATTTACAAAAAATATCATGATATGGCTAACCTTTAGAAAACCATCTTACAGCACAACATAAGCACCCCAAAAAAACATATATAATGTATTACACTATAGTACATGAATGACAGTAAACTTCAAATTGTTATTTATAGATAACTACCAAATTAAGCTTTAGTGGCTTAACATAGTGAATGACATTTTCCATTTTTATAACAAATATAAAACACTTCTCTTTGATCTTTTTTTGTACTTTAAAAAATAACTGCAGTTTCCCATTTTGATCAATAAAACTAGTAATATTTATGAAAGATAAATCTAGTCTGGTATCAGCGCCTATGTACAGATACATTACTCCTCTGTCCACACAAAATAAAGCTACCCTATCCTTCATTAATTGCATATTTAGAATCAATCAAAGTTATTATTTCCACATTAAACATAATACAGTACATAACTCAACTATCTATTATTTTTGTAATTCCTTTCTAGTGGCACATAATACACATTTTCCTTTGTTTATTCCTTTCTAGCGTCACACTGCAGACATTATACAATTTTCCTTTGCACTTACGAGTGTCCGGTAGGGGCAATGAAGTAAAGGCAGGCATGGACTCTGGTATCATGGTAAGTGTGCAGCATTCGTTTTATCTTCAGCTCCTCATGTAGGTAGGCATCAAACTGAGCATCAATGTAATCAACAATTGGCTTCCAGCTGGGGAAACATAATGTTGTGGTAGACACACATATCGACAGGAAGGTAGACATATTTACTGCCATATTGGTAGAACTATCAGATGGAATGGTAGAAATACAGACATATCTAACACTTAACACTATTCAGCAAGAAGACTCACATTAAAATGTTTAAAATGTTTTTATCATCAAATTGTGTACTTGAATAACCCCTGCTCATTAATAAATGATATCACTTTTAAATTTTAAAAGATTTGTTTTTCTTTTGTAATGGAGATTATTATAATTATCTGAAGGCATACATCAATTGATCAACATTACCTAAACATTTCATTCATTTTGGTTTATCCGAAGCCTTTTATAACACATATAGCAGTCAAAATTACCAGACAATCCTTTACACAACTTACACTACTCTACCTTCAATTCTACTAAATCCTAGCTCTTAAAACCTGCCTTCTTGTCTCCCAACCAAGTCTAATAATTTTTTTTTTTACTTAATTCCCCCCCGATCTAATAATGTTTTACTTACACCTGTCTCCCACCCAAGTCTTATAATTTTTTACTTACACCCCAAAACCCATTTGCATCACAATATTAGAAGGTATCATAACTTAGGAAGACATATTTATTATTTAAAAAAAACAACAACACAATTTTACAAAGCTCATTTAGATTCAAATACAATTATAAAATACAGCTTCATATAAACAGTAATAAGATCAAGAAATGAAATATTAATGCATTTGTTTTATTATTTATAAATCGCCATTTCATGAAGGTGGCAATATGATTGTTCAAGCCAACTTTGTCCTGAGCATTGTGAAGGTTAAGGCTAGAACTTCTTCAATATATAACATAAGAAATAAGAACATGGGTTTATTGCATAAACCATTGATTCATATTAGTTCTGTAAGGGGCCATTTGATGAAATGGCTCGAAGAGAGTTTAAAGAACTAGCAATATTTTACACACACATTTTTTTAAATTGTTGATTTTTTTTCCAGCCATTTTGAATTTTGTTTCAACATATACATTTTATTGTATTTATTTTTATTAGTAATTAGAGAACGATAGTAGTTGTGAGTGCCAAACAGGTTGCCAATTGGATGCTATTAAACCCATTAAAAATATATGCAAAAAAATTACACTTGTCAAAATTGTCTATATTTTTATTTTTTCAAGAGAAAAAAAACAAAGCTATAAGCATGCTATTAATATTGATGTTAGCAAAGTTATTTTGTAAAAAGCATGTGTTAAAATTTGTTGCATTTTCTTAAATCTAATATATTTTTTTATGTTTTGGCATTCCTAGTTTTACAACGTAAGGCAGCATTATTCAGCAAGCAGACAATTAATAGTCTTTATTTATTGTGCATACATATCTGTAGATCAAATGTTACATGGGTATTAATTATGTATTAATTGAAGGAAAAAAAGGCTTGTTGATAACTTCAATATTCAAATAGTAAACTTGTTAGAATGTCAGGCACAAATGAAAAGAATTTTATTTTTAAGAAAAAATTATTTAACAAAAATTTCCTTGCAACTAATACAACTTTGTGTTTTCAGGTTTTAGGGGACTAAAAGTGCAAATGACTATACTAATAATGGAGATTTGACATGACTGGAATTTCTTTTAACAAATAATTTCTTCACTTTATTTAATTTATGCAATGCAAGCACAATGGATGACAACAACTAATGAGTTCTACTCTTTTGACCTCACCTATCATCTTTGTTAATCTGATCCCCAAACCCAACAGAATCCACCAAGGTCAGCTTTAAAAGCACATTCTTTTCCCGCAGCTCTGAAACATGGCAGAAGGGCCAAGAGGAGGAGATAGATGAGGCAAAGAGGTGAGCAGTGCATCGTTGGGTGAGATGGTAGAAATTGTGGGAGAGTTTTTACATATTCATTCAAAACAGAAAGCATTATATACATGTTTAAATAACTGGCAAATTTTATTATATAATAAGTTTGGACTTACGGAATATTGTCAAAAACCCACTATATACTCCAATACATATATATATATATATTTTTTTTTTACATACTCACACACACATAAAATTTGCCAGTTGAATGTCAATAAAATAAAAAATATGTGTTATGCATTCTAACAATAATAAGCCAAATTTCCTGGGTATAAAACATGGGCTAGACTGCAGAAATTTTTTACACTTATAAAATGTGCCAGTGCTTAAGCCTGGAGATATTTTAAACATTTATGACTGTAAAAACAATTTAGTATGATTTGATTAGATTTGTATAGAATTTAATATTTCCATAATTAGAAGAAAAAGACAACTCAAAAGAGTTTCCATAACCCAAATGATGTTAAAGAGCATGATGAAAATCCTGATAGTATTATAGATAATAAATGTAAATGAACAATTATAAGTTTCATTTGGTTAAAAATTAATTTTTTATTTAAAGAAAAAAAAAAAAAAAGAATCTCTGCAATCTCTCCACTATCCCAAAAGCTGATGGCAGAGATGGCCTTACCTAGAGTCCTTATTGATTTGATCACCAAAAGCAATGGAATCAACAATTGTTAATTTCAAGCGAACATTACTCTCATTGAGATCTGAAAATGTCCACCCACTTAAATATGATATTTCATGGCTTTTCAGTTATTTTCTTTATTGCAAAATTTAAATATATCTGTGAAAATGTATATTCAAAGATGTTTCATCTTTATACTTAGTGTTAAAATAATTTATCTGTATTTTATTATAGATACATAATGAGATTACATTTATTACCCTTGGCACAAGAGAGAATTTTCAGCATATTTTTTGCATTTATCAAATAACATACCTCCTAGGAATGCAAATAACAATAATAATTTTAAAACATAGATGAGAAGAGAAACTTAACGTGAAAAGAATTTATTTACTATCAAGTAATATTTATGAAATTATGGGCTCAGAATAAGTCACCCCAAAAGTAAATTACAGTAGACTCTACTTTAATGTGTCACAATGAAACCTGAGTATTCCTTCTGCCCAAATCATAAATACTACAAAGATTCTCCGATACTAAAAAAATTTTTCATTAAAGTAGACCAACTAATTGCGGGGCGGAGAAACCTTAAGAGAATTTTTTTTCTATTCTGACCATATCTTTGATATGGTTGGTGCATTTTTGAAATTTTGCTGATTAATTTATCAAAATGTCTTTTTTAATTCCACATTTATTGAAACTGAATGAAATCATTGCCCATAGACATTTTACAAGTAAATAAAAAAAAAAATACAAAAATGAAACATTTTCACGAGTAATATGTGTTACTTAAAAAATGTTTATAAAATATTTACTAACACTCTTCTAAAGGCAAATAGCAAAATTAGCTGAATTAATCACTTTCAAGTTCCTTGAGACATAAGATATTTCTCTACAGTTCTTCATACAATCAATTTGTTAATAACTTACCATAAGTATGGGCTTTCAGCTTTACACCAGGAAGGTCATGTGTGCTTGGGGTTGAGTCAAAATTGGTATTGAACAGTGTGTCCATCATGGTAGATTTGCCAATACCAGTCTCACCTAATCAGATTTAAGTTTTAAATAAATGTAATATAAATCCAGATGGCTAAAACAAAATACAAAAATAATACTTCAAATACAAAAATGTAATTTTACTTCCTACATTTTATAATACATTATATTTTCCTTCAAAATTATAATGGGAAATAATTAAAATATATAAAAATATGTATGTTTTTAAAAAAATATTTTGAAGATTATTTATTAACAATTATATTAGTTCTGTAGTATGTAGACAATAAAAACCCATGTCCCTAATTATTCTGAAAATAATTAATTCAGACTTTTTTACTTTATTAATTGGGGGGTGGCATGTGGTGTGTGTGTTCAAATTTAGGATTTTTAGCTTATTCTTAACCATCTTGAGATGACTAGGCAGATCTACTGGCCCTAGAGTCAAATGGGGAAAAAGACAAATGCCCAATCCATCAGCCCAATAATGTGAGCCTCAAGATTAGCTGGCTGGTCTTCATACATGCTAATCAGATTGCTAATATCATTTCTTGCTCATCTGGCCTCATTAATGGCGGCTTCCGTTGATAGTATATGGTGTTCTGTACCAAGTGACTTCTATAACTGAAAAAATATATGACCTTGGAGTATGCCAAAGGCTAAAGCCCCCCCCCCCTCCCCCGCCATAGAATTATATGTAGTTTTCCATATTAAAACTCATTCAAATGTTTTTAGGACATATTTAGGCTTCAACAAAATTCTGTAAGTAAAACATGTTTATTCTAAGTGTAAAAAAAAAAGTGCATGAATAAATTATGCAAATCACGATATCTCATTTGCATAAATGTGATTTCAGTTTGATTCGTAAAGATCATATTAGTTCATTCTATTTCCTACAATAATATACCCCGGTACAAAATTTTATTTTTGTTAAGCAGTTGCTTTATTTTTTTATAATTTTATTTGCAAAGTAAATGCAGGGCTTGTGAAAAGGGCTCCATCTTCTTGCACCTAAAGTGAAAAAAAAAGGCTCAGTCTTAAGAGAGTTAAGAAACAGATGAAATTTCTTCCCTAATATAAGTTTTTAAAAAAGGCTCCAAATCAGGAGGGTTAAGAAATGGATGGAAATTTCTTCTCTAATATAATTGCAATGTGATTAGCTTACCAACACACAAGATGTTAAAACAAAATCCTTGAGAGACTGACTTGTTCACAAGCTGGTCAGGGAGACTATCAAAGCCTACATGACCAGTCAAATTTAAAGCTCGGACCATCTCGCTTAGTGACAAAGCTGGTGCCTTAAAATAAATAAACAAGAATGCTTTAATTATTGATAAAGTCATGCAATGCTTCATTATCATTTGAGGGTACAAAAATAATTTTTAATATGGTCTATTTATATGACATTGACTTATTTTTAAATTAAAAATATGGTAACCTAGATATAATATCACATTATATTATCGTAAGCCTCTTGACAGAGTTAGTACTTGTAGGACTTTTGTACATAAATATAATACTCATTAATAAGTCAAAGCCTTTCTTAGGCTAATTAATATGAATAGAAGTAAAATTAAGCTATATTTTCTTTTGAGTTATTTAAATTATTTGTTTAGCTTGGTCTAGTCACCTACCTAGTCTCATAATAATATTATATATGTCTATTATCCATAGTAGTATTAGCCTATGCATAACTTTAACTAATGCATAGTCATATGATTACTACTGGTAGTGTCAATTCACTGTAAAATATTTGGCCTAACACAATAATATGGCCTACTTACTTAACCTACAGTCTACAGTTCTGCATTTTTTTACTACTATAACTATACATTTCTGGTGCAATAATAATATAGCCTAGACTCTAAAGTATAGACTTTAATCTAAATTTAGTCTATGCATGTGAACACTATATTAATAGACAACAGTCATAGTAGTAGTCTATAGACTATAGTATAGTCATATATAGTCGTAGGCATAGACTAATTTGACTTAATTTCTAATTTACATTCCTCATCAGGCGTAGCTTAGCCTTAAAGTTTAAGGCACTTTTAAGCCTAGTTCATAATAGTTCTAGCCTTACACCCTGCCTTTTTAGGCCTAATTACTAAGGCAAGGCATGAAAATGATTCAGCTAATCCTATACTGCTAGTTTAATATTAATAAGAGTAAGAGTTAAGTCTTAACTTATTTAAGACTAAGTCAGTTAACTTGTAGTTGTAGGCTAACTAAATCTATTTCATTATAGCTATTTGTCTAATTGAATACTTACAAACAATCATTTACAAAATAAAAATACTAAAATATTTGTGATTTAAATAATAAGTAATAATATGTAAATAATTAATTTAAGCCTTAATTTATTCAATTTGTTATTTTAAAAATTACTTTTAAAAATGTCAAATTACACAGCACTGCTGTCAACAGGATTAAAGTTTAGGTTAGTAATTTACAGAATACAAATTAAGATGGCAGCCTTTGTCGAGCGTCCCAGTTTACAGCACAGTTCACAGTGACTCACACCTGGTTGCTCTCACTCCTGCTGAGGGATGTTCAACATCAAACAAGCCTTCAACTACACACCCTATCCCCCCCACCCCCACCATGCAACAACATTCTTTAGTTTTACGTGCCGCTGCGGCAGAGTCACCGCGTTTTCTTTCTGCCCTCTGTGGGTTGGATTTACGGCAAATTACGGTTACTAAATTACTAAATGAAATCTTTGAAAATGGCAATAAATTGCCGCAGTATTGGGTCTACTAACTACTAGTCTAGGAGACCTGCAATAAGTTTAGGCAACCTATATTATGAATAGTAGGCACAATAAGTATATTTTCAGTTATTTTAGTTAGATTTCACCGGCAGGGCTTTTTCTCTATTCTTTTTAAATTTAATTTTACTCCACACCCCCCCCCCACCCCATAAAAAAATTTCAAAATCGATTGTAAGTTTACGTAATTTTAATTATGATAAGTCCTATGTATTTAAGTCGGTAAATTTAAGTCATATAAAAAAGAAGAATTAACTCACCCGCTCTATTTCTGTTGCCATTTTTATCCTTAGTCCTTAAAATGTTCAGTTTTTTTAATTAAAATATTAAAAGGAATAAGAGACTAAATAATATAACGGAAGAAGAATCTTACTTCCTAAATGTAATGGCAAACTCTAATTAACTCAACTATAAAGATGTATACAACTTCAGCGAATGACATCTTCTTCAAGAAAACCAAGCTCATACAAAAATTAAAGAAAATTGTTTTTCGCAATGTTTCGCTGTTGCATCATGTGGAAAACTGTACAATGGATCTTCTAGAAGTGGTTGGGGAACTTTTTTTTGTTGTACCACAAAATTATCTGATTACACCGAGGTTACCCCATCCCCCTTTTAATTAAAATGGAATAAATCCATGAACTATTTAAATTCAAAATTGTTTGTTTCAACCTGTATGTACGCACAATGCAATAATAAAATAACAAAGTAAAAAAGATATGTGAATTAAAAATTTAAAAAATTCTCCATAAGAAATATCAAGAGAATGTCGTTGAAAAATGTGTCACTTCAGTTTTTGGAGAAATGGTGTTTCATTTGTGTATGCAATAACATCAAAATTGGGTCTTTTTGATATCATTCCACTTTGAATACTGTATTAGAGATTCATCGACTTCTCTGCTTTGTTTTTTAAAAAAAGTATATAAAAAAAAAATTAAAAAAAAAAAAAATTAATAGAATGAAATGTATTTGTTTGCAAGGGTAGATTATTGCAAAGTGGAGCAAATTTTTAACTGGCACCGCATGTTCAGTTTGTAAAGCCTTTGCAGCTCTTAAATTGGGTCTTTTTGATATCATTCCACTTTTAATACTGTATTAGAAATTCATCGACTTCTCTGCTTTGTTTTTAAAAAAAAGTATATAAAAAAAAAATTAAAAAAAAAAAATTAATAGAATGAAATGTATTTGTTTGCAAGGGTAGATTATTGCAAAGTGGAGCAAATTTTTAACTGGCACCGCATGTGCAGTTTGGAAAGCCTTTGCAGCTCTTGACCTAGTTGAGCATAAGATAAAACAATCGACGCTTGCACCAGAATGACGTTTTCAAGACAAGACGTGGGGTTATGCTTTTCTTTTACGGTCTACCATTTAAAAGAGGGTTGAAAACCAATGCTATATGTAATAAGCTTCAAATACCCATATCTGGGCATTTCTAGATATGGAAGCAAGACCAATGAATGGCTCAAAATGGCTGCATTGATATAGAAATTTTAATGCGAAGTACACGATACTGTGACAAGATCATGGTGTGGCTCTTTCGCAATTTTGTTTAAACTGAAAAATAGAATCATGATGACCAACTTTGACATTGGATTATAAGCATAAAAAAGTTTATTTTCTTAGAATGCATAGGCCTATTACTTGCAGATAAAATCCCTTATAGCTAACATGCCAAGTCATTTGAGACCTGGGGAAAATAAGACGTGGTCCGTGGCAATCAATCATGGACACAAGGGAAGCATTTTAAATGAATATAAATTATAACTTATAACAGGCTAATAAGAGATTCAGTGCATCTAGAAGAAGCGTAGTGCATGGTACAAAGCAAGGTCTGTGTCTTCACTTTACCACATAACTAATGTTATTAAATTATTGCTATGTAAGTAGCAAAATAAGGAGAATATGCTTTATTTTAAATAAAAATAATGTTTGAAAATATAATGATATAATGGTCTGCTCACAATCATACAGTTTTTAAATATTTTGTCTGTGTTCTGTTTGAAAGTAAATACAATATTCAGGGAGTAATAATATTCCTATTGCCATTGTCTATGCTTATATTCATAGCAATTAACACCTAAACTCAAATTCTGAAACGAAAGTTAAATAATACTATTTATTATTAATAGGCCTATCAGCGGCTTATCTGGAATACTTTTCAAATTGCAAGAGTTTTATTTAAAGATGTAATAAAATTAAAAGCTTTAATTATTTAATTTATTTAATAAGATGAAACAAATATAAATATTTTATGAAAATTCGCGTTACAGACCTAAATAAATGGATCATTGCAATAATGTTAATTGCAAATAATTTGGCTTATTTGCAAAACGCAATCAGTAAATACAGTTTTGGCAATTAGAGGAACCATATTTTCTCGTTACTTTCACGAAAATATTATTGCAATGTTAAATAGTTCTACATTTGGAGTAATTTTTACATTTAAAAAAATCAATAGATAAAATAAAATATTGACTATTTCTCATTGATTTAGATAAGAATCAATTTATTCATCCAATCGCAGTGAGCTCAATGTTTTCCCCTTCAACACGGAAGTCATCTCGCAGTATTTTGTCGGCGTATAGCAAAGCCAATGAATGCTTGCAGAAACCGACTGTTGCTAATGACTGAAGTTATTCTTCGTTCACTCAGCAAAACGGGATATTATTGTTAATTCCACAATGTCGAAAGCAGAGGAGGAAGGAGGGGAGGATGTAAAAACTGTCGAAGGGATTTTAAAATTGAAAGGCAACGACGAGCTAAAATTTGGATTGCTTATTGGCTTAATCGAATTGCAACAAGCGTCAAATAAGGATGTTGTTGACACAGTATTGTATCTGGTGAGTAACCAAACAAATCAATTTCGTTGGCGAATATGCCATAGACGAGACCCATTTAAATAAAAGTAATTTTCATAAATGTTTACAATTCACCTGTCAAATTGCATGTTATTATCTGATTTGACTTAGCCATCATTTTACTACTTTTTTGGCAGTCTTTGTAGTTTGGCTTTGGTCATTTGGTCACTCCTTGTCATTTGCCTTTAATTTTAACTTATTTAAGTTTAAGGCCCTTTTAGTAAAAACTATGTAAGAAAGTAGACGGTGGTAGTATTTTGTAAATTAGTGTTAGTAAGTGGTGTTGCTAACCTGTTGAGTACTGATTATAATTGTCATTATTCATTATTGTGTCATGTGTAATTAACGCAGGACTATTGATTGTTTGGCTATCCATCCATATTATTATTCAATATTTTTATCATAATCATAGCCAAAACCTACACCTTCATGGCACATTATCTGTTAAAACCACTTCACTGTTAGTTGAAAAATAATGGGGAAAAAAATCCCCTACCCTGCCCACCTTCTAAATAAAGTATTCATGTGTTTCCTCAGTCCTAACAAGTTAAAGTTAAGTAGCCTAATTAATAATGTAATATATAATGTAAAATTAATGCTTACTAATATTTAGTAACAGTATGACTAATTAAGCCTATATAGCCTATTTTTATTTTTGAATTCATATTTTTTTCTCTCCATTTTTTAATGAAATTTTACAGTTAACATGACTTATCTACTTTAACGCACACTGTTACTTATGAATACTCACATAGTGCCACTACTACTCTTAGTACTTGTTCATAAAATATGTGGTTTACACTCACACTGATCATTAAGTATCCAAAGAATCTGTACTTCAATTTCTAATTGCTATAAATTAGTATATTTCTATTAGGCTTTCAAATTGTGATTTCTATGAATTTTAAATCAGTTTTAGTGCTATTAGTATATGGGTTCAGTAAAATCTGTAAAGACTTGAATTTTTTAGGATAGTTCATAAAAATGTTTTTAGTTTTATGTTTTCTTCAATGAAACCTTAGCCTTATGCCATATCAGAAACATTTTAAGGAAATTACATCTCCTGTTCACCTGTTTGTGCATTCATTTCAAAACCTATTTTAAACACATTGTTATTATTTCTATCTACATAAAGAGTGAGAAATGTTATTATTTCTATCTACATAAAGAGTGAGGAATGTTATTATTTCTATCTACATAAAGAGTGACAAATGTTATTATTTCTATCTACATAAAGAGTGAGGAATGTTATTATTTCTATCTACATAAAGATTCAGAAAAGTTATAAACCATAATCGTTCTACAAAAGGATTTAAATTTAATATACAGAGATTAAAAGAACTCTTGTAATTTGGCTTTTTTTATGATTCAGTTTATTATGTTATTATTTTTGGGTTGTAATTTTCATTAAAACTTTGCTATCTGCCAAGGTTTCATTTTGATCACCTTAAAACTTGTGAACAAAACTGAACACATTGTATCTTTAATCTTTAATCTGAGGGTTAAAGACTTAACATTATTGAGATATATTGCATGGTTGCCAATAAAGCTGATTCACGGGAGCAATACCATCTCTACATTTTGCCCTCAACTTTTCCTTTAACAGTTATATCTCTACCAGGGATTCTCCTCTTTCGGAAGTGATTTTCTGATTCACTGCCATTCCTATAATATGCTGTAACTGTAATTAAATTATATAAATGGGACTAAATTTGTTAAATATTATGTGGTTTCAATTTTGCTGTAAAACTACCCACACATATGTTATTATTTTAAGATGTATCACATAAAAAGTAACAATAGAATAATTCTTTTGAGGTTCTGTTACATCAGGGGTTCTTAATCAAAAAGGGTCAGGGAGGCGGGGGAGATCCCCATAAAATGTAGTTCATTTGCATTTTTATTATCTGTTTTTAGTGTAGGAGGTGCTGAAAATGTGTTTTTAAATCAGATTGGGATGTGGAAAATGTTTTGAAATCAAGAGGGGAATGGTGTTACAAAAAGATTAAGAACTCATGTGTTACATAATGCTACTTCTGTGTTTATGAAGTATAGATATATAAATACTTCAAAAACAAATGGCTAATTAACCAATTCCAAAATGAAATCATGTTAATTTTTTTATTTCAAAACCCTTCAAATCTATCATAATTTTATTATGTCCCAGCATTTAAATAGTAAAGAGAGCACACAAACTAGTTTGCCCTGTCACTCTGCACACACACTAGTTTGCCCTGTCACTCTGCACATAAACTAGTTTGCCCTGTCACTCTGCACACACACTAGTTTGCCCTGTCACTCTGCACATAAACTAGTTTGCCCTGTCACTCTGCACACACACTAGTTTGCCCTGTCACTCTGCACACACACTAGTTTGCCCTGTCACTCAGCACACATACTAGTTTGCCCTGTCACTCTGCACATAAACGAGTTTGCCCAGTCACTCTGCACATAAACTAGTTTGCCCTGTCACTCTGCACATAAACTAGTTTGCCCTGTCACTCTGCACATACACTAGTTTGCCCTGTCACTCTGCACATAAA